GACAAAAAATCTCTACTATTAGGTTTTATTATTTGGTTTCCCCTATGTTTGCGATTATACTTATATCTAACACCCCAGTGTTACATGGCTGTTGATCATATGTTACAAATTATTATGTGCGGATTTTTTAGTATCTTTATCATATATTTCAACACATTGTAAATGTTGACAACAAAGTTCAACTAACAATATATTTTTTTGAAAACATTAATTATAAAAAGAAATTTATCTGTTACAATCTAAATTTTTATGGTAATAATAAATTGAATAACTTTAAACCATGATAAATTTTTTTTTATATAATAAAATTAAACAAAATTTTTTATAGTTTTATTGCTAAATGAAACAAATGATTCAGACCTAGGAAATTTTTATTTTATTCAACCTGGGAAAAAATTTTTAATACTTACATTTGACCAAAAATCAAGGATTTTGACACAAAGACAGCCTTCTAAGATCAAAGGCAATATTGGAGTTTGTGGAATTCTTCAATTTTATTATTATACTTCTCATTATTATTCTTGCTTGTGTTTTAATATAATATTTTGTACAGTTTTTTTATTATTTATTCTTAATTCATTATGTTTTTTAGAAATTATAAAACAATAAAATATTTTTTCTACCCTTTTTTTTTTACATATCTTAATTATTGTTGTAATCTATAGCTTTAACCTTAAATTCTTTTTATTCTATAATTATTAGTAATTGGTACATGTATAGCAACATAATGTATGCTATTTACCAGCATAATCAACAACAGGAAAACCACATTTTTTGCCATATTGTTCAGGTTGCAACACATCCTTCAATTCACATGATCCATATTCAACCTCCAACCATGAATAGAGAACATTATCATGCTCCATCATTAAATATTCGTCAGGCCCCACACCTATGGGCCATATAATATCTCTTGTATTCTGGAGAGTTGGATACCATGCTTCACCTTCTTTTCCACCCCAGTCAAAATCTACCAACATCCCCTGAGGAGATGAAGATTCCATGTCAGTTACAAGAATGTTTGTTGATCTTAGATCACCAAATACCAATTGATTTTTGTGCAGTAACCTTTTTGCCTCTGCAATATCTTTGAAAACTTTTTTTTTGTATTCAATGTTCAAATCATCTTTGATCATGAACAATGTTTTTGCTTCTACATACTCCATAATAACCATATGGTATCCCATGTATGCTACATCTTGATTATTATAGTACAGCAACCTAGGTGCAAGTTTATGTTTAGCACAGAGTTTGTGTGCATAGACATTGTATGCAGTGTTGTGAAATTGGAACATTGTAATGCTATTGGAATTATAGATGCTGGTCACAATTCTTGGTGATGGTTGCAACCATATTTGCAACATATAAAAATGGTTTGTGACACCTGGTTGCAACCACCTTTGCGACCACTTTGGTTTCCTTTTTGGATTGCGACATGGAACACTAGTCTCAAATTTGGTGGAGATTGGTGAGCAAAAAAGGGTTAAAAATTAAGGTTTGTGACTAATTTTATTAATAGAATTTCGACATTGATCACCAGAAAATTTTGACTACTAATAGTCGCAGGACATTGCAGATCAAGTGTCATTCAATATAAACATTACACAAATAAAATTATTATCATCCACTTCAAAAAAACAATCTTCGTTTTTTCATCTAGTAAGCAATTTTCAACCATAATAAAATTTTTAGAGCCAGACTGGAACTTTTAACAACAGTTAAAAGAAAAAGCTAGCTTAAATATTGGTTATTCTACGCCAGGTCAAAAGTGTTTCTTTTCTTCACACTTATTTTAAGATTATTGCTCAACTAATATGCAGACTAAAGCAAATTCAGCAGCAACAGTTGTGCCAAACTGTTATCTACAAAGTTGCTTATAGTTACTTGGAAGGTTGTGTTAGAAAAATTTTGCTTTTAATTATAAGGGACTGGTTTATAAGGTTATTAATTTATTTAGAATTTTAAAATTCCATGGTCAAAATTTCAAAATAATAATAATAATAATAATAATAATAGTTAATTTATTGTTTGATAATTATGAATACAAAGAATTGGAGAAATAATAATTAACAATAAAGAAATTTATTTATTAATAATAGACCTTTGGCATAGTACATCAAGCAAGGTTTGAATATTTCGGAATAAAGCTCTAAAGGGTTGTGGTGGTAGTGATGGTAATGATGGTGGTAGTGGTGGTAATGATGGTAGTGGTAGTGATAGTAATGGTGGTAGTGGTAGTGATAGTAATGGTGGTAGTAGTGGCAATAATCGTAATGCCATAGATACAAGTTGTAATAAAAAAATAAGATTATTATTATTATCATCATTATAACTTGCCCAATATAAATATATTTTGTTAATATTTAACTTATTCCAAATGATCTGATAATTAAAATATACCAAATACAAATAATTTCTATTTTCTAAAAATAAATAATCAATAATAATAAAAATATGATCGTGTAATGGATTGTACACCGTCAGATCTATACATGTGGTCAAAATTATTAAATTGCGTCAGATGCAATTAAAAATCTAGAAAATTGAACATTGCATCACCAATCATAAATTTGACACGTTGACGCAAGACGCAATTCATGACGCAAGACGAAATTCGCGACGCAAGACGAAATTCGCGATGCAAGACACAATCCATTATCTTACATAAAAAAAAATACACATTTGGAAATCTTGTTTGCAAAAAATGGTTAATACTAC